TACAGCCTCCTCCCACGTGGTGTACAGCCCCCTCCCACGTGATTTACAGCCCCCTCCCACGTGGTGTACAGCCTCCTCCCACGTGGTGTACAGCCTCCTCCCACGTGGTGTACAGCCTCCTCCCACGTGGTGTACAGCCTCCTCCCACATGGTGTACAGTCTCCTCCCACGTGATTTACAGCCTCCTCCCACGTGATTTACAGGCTCCACAGGCTGACTGGGGGCTCAGCGCTGGGTCAGTTCTGACTCTAGAGCAGCGAGTTGTTTACTAGCCGTTGTGAGGAAGAACTGATGGCTTGGAGGTTGAATTCTCACCTTCCGGGCGTGAAGGTCTCAGGTTTAACTCCTGGACAGGGTACCTCATGCAGAGCCACCACCGGCCTGTCCATGGAGGATGGACATGTTTACTCTGGATCCAGAAGACCTTCCAGACTAGGAGGAAGTAGTAAGAAAGGCCTGGCAAACCACTTGTGAAAAACCAGCCAATGAAAACCTTATGGACGATACTGGTCAGATATGCAGCTGGCTTTGGGGGACAGCGCAGGACCAGGCAGTTTCTGGACCAGTGAGTGTTTCTATCTGTTGAGTGGGGTCACCATGAATTAGGACGGGTTAGTTTGATGTCAGCTAATAACAAAGAATTATAGAGTCCTAACTACAACTCATTACCACTGAGTTGGAAACAACTCACGGCTGACCAGCCAGCAAGTTTGCAGAAGCTGCTAACTGCATGGGCGGAGACTGCCCATCTTTCTCCCTTGGAGTGGTTGGTGGATTCCAACTCCATGCCTTTGGGTTGGCAGTGCAGCTCCTCCAGAACAAACAAACAAAAATCTAATTCAAATAGTGCAACAATGAATGAATGAAAACCCAAAATCTCTGTAAATGTTCATTAAAATTAATAAAATTTAATAATTGAAAAAAAATCTAATTCAGCAACCACTTTAATATGTCTGCCCCAGCGCTTCTCTCTAAAAGAGAACTGAAAAACGGCAACAATGCTTTTCAGAAGAAATTTCAAATGAAACAAAGCTAGAATTTGACCCTCCAGGGAGCTGCTTAAAATGAATCCAAAAGGATGGGTCTAGAGAGAAAACAACTCAGGCAATTGTTTTTACAACTTAATGCTGCATAGTGAACCCATTTACTCACAGTGAACCAATTTGTTCACAGTAAAATCAACTGCTATCACAGAATAACACGGGTGCATACTTAATTTTGTAGGCAATTCCTGATGAGTCAAAAAGTCTTTCATCTAAAAAGACAGATCTGAGTTTGACACAATTACTCCACCTTTCTCTTGAAGGAGCCTGGGGCAGATTGTCTAATTTGAATAGCTAGTAAATAATCTGGCAGACTTAAATAACCACAGCGTAAAGTTGATGATCTGTCTCGCTGTCCCTCATGGTAAACTCCTGAAAGAAGGCATTGTGTGAGGGCTAATGCTGAGGTATTATTCCCCGAGCTCAATCAAGTATTCCTTTGTTCCCATTCCTTCCCTGCAGCTCCCCTCAGTACGGTCCTGAGCAACCGTTTTGGACACCGGCTGGTGGTGGTCGTCGGAGGGCTGCTGGTCACCACAGGGATGGTGCTGGCCTCCTTCTCACGAGCCGTTTACCACATGTACATCACCGTCGGCATCATCTCTGGTGAGCGCTTCTCCTGGCGGAAAGGCTCGGGATACCTATGTTCTCAAACACAGTCCAGGTTGGAGTTCCTGGGTTGGGGCAGAGAGTTGCACAGGGACTATTCACTGGAGGCTGGCGGTTCAGAGCCACCGAGAGGCACCTTGGAACAGGTGTGGTGATCTACTTCCGAAAGGTCAGGGCTCTGAACACGCCATCGTACTCCACACAGTGGAGCTACCAGGAGTCGGAACCCGGTCAGTGGCAACTGACAATAACAACCATCAGACAATGGTTCTCTCTTGATTTTTTGTAATTTGTTGTTAAATTAGAGCATGGCTTTTGAATTGGGTTTTGGGGGCTCCAAGGCATATGGGAATCTATTCTCAAACACCTAAGTGGTTTTGCTTGGATTTTTTTTTTCTAAATTCTCCATGGTCACGTCCCTTTTGCTTTATTTTAGAACCAAAGGCCTTGGATTTACCCAGCATTTCTCTAATAGGAAGTTTGAGGACCGAGGGCTGTGGGGAATAGCAGAGTCTGGAGTCTCAGTCTTGGGGGTCTAAGAAACTAAACTTTTTCCCATTTAAAAGGCATCCTTATGACATTCAACACTTGGAAAAGCTTCACAGACTATCCTTGTCAGTATGTGAAGGACACTTATGCTGGTTCAGACAAGGACACGTTCTCCTTTGACATTAACTTGCCTGAGAAAATCCAGTCTTATGAAAGAATGGAGTTTGCTGTGTGCTATGAGTGCAATGGGCAGACATACTGGGACAGCAACAAAGGCAATAACTATAAGATCATCCAGGCTGCATTAAAATCTACTCAGGGCCTGGTCGAGCCACAGAATGGACCAGATTTTGGAATAGCCTTTGACCAGTTTGGAAGCCCTCGATGTTCCTACGGTCTGTTCCCAGGATGGCCTAGTTATTTTGGATATGAAAAGCTAGGGCCCTACTATTAGTGACTGGTGTATGGCTGAGCCTGTATACAAACAAGCCTTAGTCACAGTGGGATGCAGATGAAACCAAATAAAGGGTAAAGTTGAACTGCCATCAGGCATAATTTTTTTAAATAAAGGATCCTGTTCACTTTTTGCCTTAAGCCAGCAAAAAAAAAAGGCATCCTTATAATACTAACAATACTTACAGTATCGTAGACACAGTTGTGTGTGTGCATATACGCATCTGTACATACATATGTACACATGTATGGATTTAAGGTTTCCTTATACTCCTGCAAATATGAAAAGACTCATTTCCTTCCAAGTAGAAGTCTAAGACTGACAGATTATCAAAATTCTTCTCAATAATAGTTGTGTTCCAACTACCAGCAGAAATAAGAAAGATTAGAGCAGAAAGGAATGAAGGATAAAAAAAAATATGATCAGACATTAGTTCTCTGAAAAGATTGGTAAAGTCAACAAACCATGGGCAAAATTAGAAAAAGCAAGAAGATGTAAATGAAAATAAGAAATGAGATGAGGGATGCTATTACAGAACCATCTAAGAGGATCGTAACTGAATATTATGAAATATGCCAACAAATTTGGAAATCTAGAAGAAATGGACAAATTTCTAAAAACACACTGCCTACTTAGACCAACAAAATCAAAGGCAGAAAATCTGAACAGAGACAGACAGGTAGATAAAAGACATTGAAGAAGTTGTTAGAAAGGAAAAAAAAACAACCCACACAAAACTCCCAGCAAACAAACCCAAAAAACCCTCTGGCTCAGAAAGCTTCACTGCAGAATTCCACCAGGCATTCAGAGAAGGGTTGAAACCAATTCTATCTCCTCAGACTGTTCTAGAACATAGACAAGAAAGGCATGCCCAGAATTCAGTCAACGAAACCAGGAAACAAAGCCAGGCAAAGACACTAATTGAAAAGAAAATGAAAAAAAAAAAATCATGGGCTGGTACCCCTCATGAATTGTTGTTGTTGTGTGCCATCAAGTTGGAACTGACCCATAGCTGACCCTCCAGCAGGTTTTCAGAGACAGTAAATCACTCAGGAGGAGATTGCCCATCCTTCTCCTGCAGAGCATCTGGTGGATTTGAACCATGTGTCTCTGGCATTGCGGCAACTACTTACCACTGTTGTTGTTGTGTGCCGTCGAGTCGCTTGTGACTCATAGTGACCCTATGTACAACAGCCATAAACTCCGCTCTGTCCTGTGCCAATCGCACCATCTCCGATACACCCATCCCGATTACCCCAGTCACTGAATCAGTCCACCTCATAGAGGGCCTTCCTCTCCTGCGCTGTCCCTCCACCCTCCCAAGCATGATGTCCCTCTCCAAAGACCTGTTTCTCCTTACAACATGTCCAAAGTATGTTAGACGAAGCCTCAGAATCCTTGCCTCCAAGGAGCAGCCCAGTTTAACCCTTTCCAGGATGAATCTGTTTGTTTTCCTAGCAGTCCATAGTACTCTCAATACTCTTCTCCAGCACCATAGCTCAAAGGCATCAATTCTCTTTCTATCCTCCTTGGTCACTGTCCAACTCCCTGTTGCATAACAAGTGATTGTGAAGGCTGTGGCCTCTATCAGATACACCTTAGTCTCCAGAGAGACACCATTGCTCTTCAGTACTTTGGAGAGGTCCCTTACAGCAGACTTTCCCATAGCAATGCGCCTTTTAATTTCCTGGCTACTGGTGCCAAGAGTGTTGACTGTGGAGCCACGCAAACTAAAGCTGTGTACAATCTCAATCTCTTCACCATCCATCCTGATGCTGCCAGTTGGTCCAGTGGTGAGAATCTTTGTCTTCTTGACATTGCGCCTCAATCCATATTGGAGGCTGCAGTCCTTTGATCCTCTGCAGCAGGTGCTTCAGGTCCTCCTAGAGATGCAAAAATTCCCAATAGATCTCAAGCCAATCAGAAGGTGGTCATATGGATATAGACCTGCGAGTAGATATTTCTACGTACATATTGGCAAATGTTGCCATCTCTACTCGTATATACATACAATAGCATGTACGAGGCACACTTGCAGAAAATACTTAGGCAGCGAGACTGAACCACCGTAGCAGAATACTAAAGCATGCAGCCTCCCGGGACAGCCAGGACACAAGGCAGAGCACAGTCCACAGACATAACAGTCTACACCCTGGTTTGGTGGGTAGCACCTGGACTTGCAGAAATTGCTGACAAGCCCCGTGAAAAAGCAACCATGAGTCTCTTTATCTCCTGCCCCAAGATAAGAGGACAAGAACATGAAAATCAGTGGAAACAATTCGTTCACGGGATCAGTGGCGGATTAATGGCTCACATGAACCCCGGCCTCCTCTAACCTGAGACCAGTACAACTAGATGGCATCCAGCGACAACTCCGACCCAGACAACACCACAAGGTCCTGATGAGAATAAAGAAAAGAAAAAAGCCAAAGCCAAAAGGGGTGGGGGGAAGGGAAAATAAAGACTAGACCACTGCCTGGAGCAAACCTTCTAATTTGAAACTAAAGCTGTGTCCTCCCAGTCAGATGACGGACAGAATTGTAAACAAACCAGGGGAAGAATGTCCTCCCAGAGCAGACCACTGGAGGAGACAGGCAGGGCCACTCCTGCTCACAGCCAATGATGAGAAGAGAGGGGTGGGGAGCTGGAGGCATGAAAATGAGGAAATGAAAGAGTGCAGGGATATGACCACTCACTGGCTGGGGGAGTGGCATGGATGTATAACCCACTGGCTGGGGAAACTAATGTGTTCTTAAACTTTCACTGAAAGCACAGTAGTTGTTAGGTGCCATCGAGTTGAGTATAACCCACAGTGACTCTATGAACAACAGATCAGAGCCCTGTCCTACCCTGTGCCATCCTTACAGTCTCTGACATACCTGAGCCTTTGCCATAGTTACTGTGTCAATCCAACTGGTCAAGGGTCTTTGTCACCCTCGCTGCCCCTCCACCTTCCCAAGCATGATGTCCCTCTCCAAGGAACAGCCCCTCCCAGCAACATCCCAAAGTTTGTAAGACGAAGCTTCATCATCTTCGCCTCCAAGGAGCACTCTGGCCGCACCTTCTCCAAGACATAACTGTTTGTTCTTTTGGGAGTCCACAAGATATTCATTCAGTGTTCTTCTCCAGCGCCACAACTCAAAGGCATCGATTCTTCTTCTGTCATCCTTATTCAATGTCCTGCTCTCAGAAGGACAGCAAGTGACTGGAACGACTATCATCTGAATCGGGTGTATAGTCTTCAAAGAACAGCATTGCTCCCAGTAATTTAAAAGCACAGTAGAATTTTTTTTTAAATTATATTCATCATGAAGTATTTCATCCTGAAAAAGGAAAGCAGAAATGGAGATCAAAAGCCCTAAGATTTTTTAATACTCTTGTTTGGTAACAAAGAGAGTCAGAAAGAAAAAAAAAAGGGCAGCTCACAGAAAGACGGGCTGACCCAGTCACCACAGCAGTGGCTTCAGATGCCCAGCGGTTATGAAGATGGCACAGGGCCGGGCAGCGGGCTGCCATGACTGGAGCCAGTGGTCCCACGAAAAGCCCCCAGCACCACCGGGCGGCACAGCTGGACCGCTGCTCAGACATTGTCTTTTCTGGACCGATTCACCCTTATCTAGAGTGGAGCACAGGGCTGTGGTCCACTTTGAGGATTTAAAAACCCAGATCTCCGTGCACACCCTCCCGGCCCCGGCCTGTGATGCTCACGACTCACTTCTCTCTTTCCTTCCCAGGTCTGGGATACTGCTTTAGCTTCCTGCCGACGGTCACCATTCTGTCACAGTACTTTGACAAGAGGCGCTCCGTGGTGACGGCCATCGCGTCCACGGGAGAATGCTTCGCTGTGTTTGCTTTTGCACCAGGTATGTGGATCAGCGAGGGGTTTCATGCCACCAACCTTTAGGGTGGAAGTCAAGTGCTTACAACTGCACCACCAGGGCTCCAGTAACTTAAAAAATAAATAAATAAAATAGCAGCCTCATGGGCGTTGAGTCGGAAGTGACTCATAGCTGACCCTCCAGCACGTTTCTGGAGACTGCCCGGCTTCCACGGAGCCCCTGGTGGATTTGAACCTTGAAAGTTCACAGCCTTTGGATTGCACAGCGACATGTCACAGACGATAGCCCCTTGATAAATAGTTTAGGCTTTGCAGATACATTGTCTCTGTTACAACCACTCACGGGGCCCCGGAGGCAGTTGGCGGCAAGGCCACCAGTTCTAGCCCACCAGCCCCTCCATGAGAGAGAGGGGTGGTCATCTGTTTCTGTCAAGGCTCCAGCCTTAGAAGCCCCACGCGGCAGTTCCACTCTGTCCTGCAGGGGGACTGTCAGAATTGTCATGTCAGCAGTGAGTTTGATTTTGGCCTCAACTCCTCAGCCCCGTGTCACAGCATTTAAAGCAGCTGGAGCTCAGGCAAGCCATGCAGTGTCCAGTCAAACTTTATTAACAAAAACAGGCAGCAGGCCAGATTTGGCCCTGAAGCCACAGTCATAGTTGGCTGGCATTGACGTGGATCACAAAGCAGTGGTGTCACTTCTCATGCCTCTGCCTGGCCAGATGCACCCCTTCAAACGCTCTGCAAGCCCTGGGCTGAAATGCTGATTTTGTAGCTAGTGACCACTTGGCACCTTTTCTTCTGATGGTCTGAGAAAAGTCCTAACGCTTAGGCTACAGGTGACACCGGCTGGCCCCACGCACACCGCTGCTGCGGGAGTATGTTTCAGAGATTCTCACCAAATCAGAACCTTCTTGTTGGTGTTCCCTGCTGGGTCCCATGTCCACCACTGACCTGCGGCTTTCTCTCCCCTTGCACACGCCCCCAGCCATCATGGCCTTGAAGGAGGGCATCGGCTGGAGAAACAGCCTCCTGCTTGTGGGGATGATGCAGCTTAACATCGTCATCTGCGGCCTGCTGCTGAAACCCATCGTCATCAGACCACCCCCCTCGCCCAAGACCCCCGCCCAGGAAAGCCGGAAAGAAGTGCATATCATGCTGGAAAATGAGAAGACACGCACCTCCATCGACTCCTTCGACTCAGGAGTGGAACTAACTACCTCACCCAAGAATGTGCCTAGCCACGCGGACCCGGAGGCCAAGGAGCCACGGCAGGGCCTGCCCAAGGCCAGCCCCGAGCACGGCGAGGCGCGGGCCCCACTCCTGGACTTCTCCATCCTCAAGGACCGAGGCTTCATCTGCTACGCGCTCTTCGGCCTCTTCGCGACCCTGGGCTTCTTTGCCCCCTCCTTGTACGTCATCCCCCTGGGCCTCAGCCTGGGCATCGAGCGGGACCGCGCCGCCTTCATCCTGTCCACCATGGCCATCGCCGAGGTGGCCGGCCGCGTGGGCGCCGGCGTGGTCCTCAACCGCGAGCCCATCCGCAAGATCTCCATCGAGCTCATCTGCGTCATCTTGCTGGCCGTCTCCCTCTTTGCCTTCACGTTTGCTACCGAGTTCTGGGGTCTCATGTCATGCAGCGTCTTTTTCGGTTGTATGCTGGGGACGGTGGCGGGCACCCACATCCCGCTGCTGGCCGAGGACGATGTGGTGGGCATCCAGAGGATGTCATCAGCGGCTGGGGTCTACGTCTTCATCCAGAGCATATCGGGACTGGCCGGCCCTCCCCTGGCAGGTAACGTGAACACATTCCAAACCCCCATCTGCTCACTTCCTGCTCTGGTGGCAAATGTGCTGATTTTTATGCTTCTGTGATTTTCAGAGATGCTTAGAGGAAAGGCTTTGGGTCAGGTGGGGAATTCTCATCTGTGGGGGCTCCGTTCCCAGCCAGTGCACTCCACTCCCAGCTACCCCCTGCCTGGCTGAGACTTGTTGTGTTGATAGGATTCTGAATAGAAGTCAGCTGAGCAGAGACCAAAATAGACTAGGAAGAAAGGCCTGGAGATCTGCTTGTGGAAGCCAGCCATTGAGAGCCCGATGAAGACGTTGGTCTGGTTCCCTGAGGTCTCTGAGGACCGTACAAGACCAGGTAGGATTGCCTTCATTGTGCATGATGTCACCTCACCGTGACTCGGAGGCTGACCTGACCACAGCTTATACAAGAGGCCCTTAGCCTGTAACACATCAGGCTACTAATTGAAAGGTCAGGAGTTTGAAGCCACCATCTGCTTCACGGGAGAGAGGTGGACAGCCGCCTTCCGTAAAGATTTACAGCCTCAGAAATCCACAAAAGGTGGCCTAGAGTTAGAATCGACTCGATGGCAGTGTAACACGACGACAGAAATGAGAGATTCGCGGAGGCATTCCTCTCCATTTTAATGTGAGGAAACTTAACGTCAAAGATGTAAGCTAAGCCAGCGGCCAAGAGATAAATTAGCGACCATGTCAGGATTAGAAACTGTGTGCAGCCCAACGCATCCCAGGATCTGCCTGCCGTCTTGCTTTGCCGAGTGTGAGAGTCGAACCCCTGGACTTAGGACCTCCTTACGCAGGACTTGTAGAATAACAGAAAAGTCTGTACGCTGCCGTTCCTTAGGGGAGGTGTTAGGGGGCTGCGAGCACAGCAGCCCTCAGCCAGTACTTCATTGCTTACTATGGGATGGTTCCTTAAGAAAGGCTATAAGTAATTTTCCTCTCTTAGAGGAAGACCCTCTATGAAGTAGATTGATTCAGTGACTGGGGTAAACGGGGTAGGTGTGTTGGAGACAGTGAGAATTGATGTCTTTGAGCTGTGGTGCTGGAGAAAAGTATTGAATATACCATGGACTACTAGGAAAACAAACAGGTTTGTCCTGAAGAGGGTGAAGCCAGGCTGCTCCTTGGAGGCAAGGATTCTGAAGCTTCTGACATACTTTGGACACGTTGCAAGAAGGGACCAATCTTCGGAGAGGGATGTAATGCTCAGGAGGGTGGAGAGACAGCGCAGGAGAGGAAGGCCCTCTATGAGGTGGATTGATTCAGTGACTGGGGTAATCGGGGTGGGTGTGTCGGAGACAGTGAGATTGGCACAGGACAGAGCAGGGCTTAGGGCTGTTGTACACAGGGTCGCTATGAGTTGCAGGCAACTTGATGGCACATAACAACAACAATAGCAACAGGTCTAAAATAGGCCCTCAAAGTAACTGTGATTAGAAATCTTATTCCATGCTAACAGATGCTGGGAGCGGCCGCAAATGAAAACAAGAGCTTTTTCCTTACTTCAGAAGATAATATTTTTTTAAAATAGCATGCATCTCACCACCCTGTGTGGTAGATTCTGTGGACAGACTCAGCCCATGAAAACTTGGTAGCGGCTTCATTTTCTTAGGTGCAGGGTGGTGTGTATGCGTGTGATTTATTTTTTTTCTCTCTCAACAGGCTAGAAAAGATTCTTACCATAAACATCTGTTCTTTCACACTTCAAAAACATAAAGCAACTGAGAGGCTTCTGGATAGATGGGAGCCTGGGCGAGCTGGGTAGACATCCAGGGATTCTAGCAGGTCTGTGCTGATGAATGCGTATGCTTCCTCCCAGGTCTGCTGGTCGACCAAAGTAAGATCTACAGCCGAGCCTTCTACTCGTGTGCCGCGGGCATGAGCCTGGCAGCCGTGTGCCTGGCCCTCGTGCGGCCCTGCAAGCGGGGACTGTGCCAGCGGCAACCGTCAGAGGAAACAACCGCGGAGTGTCGCCGTGAAAAAGTACTACAAGACATCCCCGAGGACTTTCTGGAAATGGACCTGGGAAAAAATGAGCAGAGAGGTCACTTGAAATCGGGGGCAATCTGATGTGCTTTCCTGGAACATCAGCTGCAGTGGTGGCTGGAGTGGGCTGGGATGGAGGGTGGGGCAGGCGGGAGCTTCATGGACACAGGTTCGAACCCCTCTACTCCACTTTCAAAATGCATTTTTAAAGGGAATGTATCTGAACAGCGCCACCAAGATCCTTTTTTTCTGAAGCTTTCCTTTTTTGCTTGTTGGGTTTGTTGTTGTTGTTTTTCTTTCCCAAAGCCAAAACAAAAACCAACCAAACATTCTTCTGTAGATACACCTGGATGTATTCAGTAGCAATACAAAGACACGCAGAAGGACTCTGTGGGGTCACACTGCAGTTCTGAGATAGTGCGATGCATCGGCAAAGTGGTTTTTAGATGATTTCACGTGTGACTGATCAACCACTGTCTTATAAAATGACACCTTGCCCAGGTCACAGAGATGAAAATGGCCATAAAAAAGAAAAAGGGGGAAAAAAGCCAGCAAAAATCACTTTTGCAATTGCTAATTCTCAAAAAATAGAACTAGATTATGAAATCCTCTTTGGCAGATACTGAGGTCACCATGTAAAACTTAGGGCCTCTTCATTTTTCCCAACTCTCCACATAGGTGAAATGGGGTGCACAGACGCACATCAGGCCCTTCAGCAGAAATCTTACAGCTATGGAGGACTTGAACTTCATTCATGTGAAGACTCCTGCTTCTTTTTGAGGGCCAGTCATTACCACAAGTATTTCAATACCAAATATACAGGATGGCGTTCAGAAAAGGGTGTTTTCCTATTGCTTAGAATTATTCTGAAATACGTGATTGTAGCGTCTTTAATTTAAACCACTATTTATTATTAAGTTATTCTAGGATGCATGATCAAAAGACGTAAAATCTGGAACATAATCAGCCTCTGCATTCTCTGCATTCTCTGCAGCCCTTTAGATGCCTCAACAAGCACGTCCTGTCTTGTAAAGTTACACTCCTGAGAAAGCCAGGTCGGAGGGACTGGTTCTTTTGCTCCACGGCCATGTTTGCTACTTACTGAGGGGGAGAAATGACCGACAAGTCGCCTTAGCTTTTCAAAGTCATTTTGTTTCATCACTTACACTTGAGGATCTTCTCCGATCAGCATTAGATTTTATGGAATTGCTGCAGCATTTCTGATTATTATTATTTTTTTTAACATCATCCTGTTGATGTTATTTCTGTATCTCACGTGGGAGCAGCAGAGAATTCTGTTTTCCCATTACAGGCTCTAAGTCAGGGCTCACGACTTCTCAGAGAATGGGCCTTGATTGCACTAAGCCGCCGTGTGTCAGTCATTGTGTTGTGGAGTTCAAGTACCCGATGTCTTGTTCTTAGCATTGTTCTGTCAAGAGGAGAACAGGTGGGCTCCTTGTCCCTCTGTCCTCTTAGCCTACAAGCAAGCCCCCGAGGCTTAGCAGGGAAGTGCTGGGCTGCTGACAGGAAGGTCGGCGGTTCAAACCCACCAGCTGCTCTGTGGGACAAAGATGAGGCAGTCTGGCCCATCTCTGAGATGAAGGAAAGCCTCGGACGGAGGGCCTCCGTGAGGCCAGTCGGCTCGACGCCAGTTGGCTTGTCTTGTTTTGCTTGTCACCCTGCGGGTGTGGCTCATGCTAGCTCCCCCACCTCTGTTCATCTTCACTGTTAATTTATGACAACTCAGGGGGAAACATAAATCTATATATTTATATATATACATATATATGACAGCCTAGTCTGAATACAGGTACACACAAGCTTGAATACTGCTCTGCACTGAAACGCAAGTGGCGGAGGTCGTCACCACCTGCTACGCTGTGGGCAGCATTGTGTCCGCCATGGAGCTAGGACAATCTGTAGAACTCTGGGGGCGGGCGGGGACAGGTGACGCCGTGGCAGTGGCAATGCTTCCGTCGCTGCCTCAGGACTTGGAGCTGGTGGCCGCGCTGCAGCTTACATGACTTCAGCACTTTACGACGTTTTTATTTTACTATGAATGTTCAATCCCGTTTACTATTTATAATGGATTTCTGTGATATCTGCTCCGTGTCCACCGTTAACTGCATGGCAGCAAAAGGTATGCCGATTTCAGTATGCCAATAATCGAGGTTTTTAAATGTCTGGAAGAAAACACAAATTAGGATCGCAGATTTGTTCTGTGTTAGTGACCTTCTGGTACTCCTAGATTTGCAATAAACTTCAGGCTTTTTTTTTAATTAAAGAGACTGACTGCTGTTAAGCTGGTGCTTCTGTTGTTTAAGACCTTCTAATCTTATCAGCGTCCGTTCATTGTTTGATTCAGTAAAAGTCCAAAGAGACCCCAAAAGATTCTGAACTCTTAAAACATTTCTACTGTCTTTTAGTTTTAGGAGAGACACAGGAGCCCTGGTGGCACAGTGGTTAGTATTAAACTGCTAAACAGAAAGTCAGTGGTTCAAACCAACCAAGGACTCTGTGGGAGAAAGGTGTGGCCCTCTGGTCCACAAACAGAAGAGACTTGGAGCCCTACGGGGCAGTTCCACTCTGGCCTGCAGGTCACAATGGTCTCAAAAGCAGTGAGTTCAATTTGATTTGGTTTGAGAGACACGTTTGTTGTTGTTGTTGTTGTTGTTATGTGCTATTGATATCACCTGCAACTCACAGTGACTCTTATGTACAACAGCTCTGAAGGCTGCCCTGTCCTGAGCCAGTCCCACTGACTCCGAAACACCTACCCCTCTGCCCCAGTTACTGTATCAATTCATCTCATCCGGGTTTATCTTCTCCTGCACTGTCCCTCCACCTTTCCAAGCATGATGACCTTCTCCCAGGACCAGTCTCTCCTGGCCACGTGCCCAAAGTATGTGAGACGGAGCTTCAAAATACTAGCCACTGAGGAGAAACTTGGTTTTACCCTCTCTTGTACAGACCTGTTTGTTTTCTTGGCGGTCCATAGTATGTTCAAGACTCTTCTCTCCAGCACTACAACTCAAATGCATCAATTCTGTCGTCCTTAGTCACTGTCCAGCTCTCTGATACTGACACACACAGGTCCCTAAAGGTGCATACGGAGCTGATTTCTTAACACAGAAAATTACATGAATGGATCTAGGACAGTGCATGAATGAAATGTAACAGTGGCCACAAAGAGTACTGTGGTAAGCCTGTCCAAAGCAGTAAGTGTGGTAGTTAAAAGACTGTTTCCTCACTTAGGGAGCTCTGCGGCACCGTCTGCAGGGGCCCTACCTCTCTGGCAGTTCGGATCCCCAGCGGCTGGGTCCTTGGGAGATAGGTGGGCAGTCTCTGGTGATTTCCAGCCTCAAGCTCAGTGGAAGGTCAGCTAGGAGGAGTCCGTTCCAACTCGGTAAGTGTGAGTCTGATCCTTAGTTGGCAACAGTGGTCACCCTGAGGCACCCTGGAAAATCTAAGCGATCTGGTTCCTTTCAAAGAACACGGCCTGAAAAGCCCAGGGGGCAGTGCCACCACGCACACACGGGTGACCAGTGACTGTGAGTCAGGGCTGAGTCGCCGGCAACCACCAGCAACGGCAACAAAATAAATGGTGACAGAACTTCCCAAGAACTCTTCTAACCTTTAAATAAACAGCACAGACTCTTCCCGCCAGGGATTGCCAAACTTTTTTCCTTAAGTCTAGATAGTAAATATTTCAAGGCTCTGGGGTCCAGATGGTCTCTCTTGCCACGACTCGGCTCTGCCCTGCCTACTGTAGCGTGAAACAGCCCACATACGATGCGTAACCGGACAATAAATGAGTGTGGCTCTGTTTTAAGTTTTATTTATAGACACTGACATTTGAATGTCATAAAATTTTCGCATGTCATTAAATACGATTCTTTCAGGTTTGAGGATTTTTCCCCCCCCCCAATCACTGAAAAATGTCAAAACCATTTTTAGTGTACAGGCTGTTTGAAAAAAAAATCAGCCAATGAAAACCCTTTGAATTGCAACAGTCCAGTAACACCAACAGTCTGCACAGATTGATGTGGTCAGAGCAGCTCTGGGACCACAGGTGTCTAAGCTGACTGCACACTTAATCAAGGTCACCTTTCACTTACTGCCTTGACCTGGTTGGCTTATTCCTGCAGTAGAAATGTAAACTGTCTCCACCCCAAAACAGTTACCCGAGTTGTAAAACTGAATTCGGATCTTAGGTTCTTTTAAGACAAACCCATCCTTGATATGTTCTTGTTGTTAAGTGCCGTTGAGTTGTAGGCGACTCATAGCAACCCTATGAACGAAAGACCTAGACACTTGTATAACTTTCGTCCTTTCTCCAGGTTCATAGAGTTTCCGGAGGCAAGCTACTTTGGAAGTGGATGCCGCTCCTGCTTCCAAGCTTGTTTTAATCGGGGAGCTCCACCAAACACTGTCCACCATGGGTAACCATTAATGCATTTGACACATCAGTGTCACAGTGTTCAGTTTCACAGCAGCCACAAATTACCTCTGTACAGCAAGTGGACACACCAGGGCTATACGACCTAGAAGAATGTTTCACAAAAAAATTTAAAAACAGGCCTGAGGGCCACGGAGAAGAGTCACCCACCTTTGGCTTGGGAGCATCACTTTCTGTATGTGATATACTGCAAATAATAAGTGAGATCCTAAGGGCAGTCAAACTGTGTGTGTAATCGTTATGCAAAGTAATAAGAATTTAAAAATAAAAAACGAAAAATTATCTAAGTGGCTAAGGCATGAACGTTTAACGAACAAGTTGCTTTCATAGAAATCCTGTTGTACAAAGAAGCCAAATACAAGAATAGTATCAATTAAAATACAAAACATTGTAAGCATCCTACAGGCTTTCCTGTGTTTGGATTCTGTCTTCTGCTCATGCTCCACTTTCATCTTCTCAGCAGGAGTATCATCCACTTAAGCCTTCCCTTCTTGAATTAGTTTCTCTGCGTATTTCATTATCATTTCAAAATGATCAGAGGTATTAAGTAAACTGATCTGGTTTGATCTTCTACTCCAACACTACTCAGTCATAAGGAGACTTAATGGCACCCCATGGTTAAACA